AAAAAAAAAAAAAAAGAAATGGGGGTCTCACTTTGTTGCCCAGGCTAGTCTCGAACTCCTGGGCTCAAGTGATTCCCCTGCCTTAGCCTCCCAAAGTGCTGGGATTACAGGCATGAGCCACTGAACATTCATATTTCTTAAATAAGACCCTAAAAGCACTTGTGCTGGGATTGAGATAAATCCAGGCAGACAGCTACCCTAAATGGGATGTGGAAGCCTCCATGGTGGAGAAGAAAGATGTGGACATAGATCATTACAAAGCTATGGGTTATATGCTGAGATGGTTATTCCACTGTGTATTATGCTTCCTTTGAGGCCAGTATTTGTGGCTCGTTCATCTGTGTGGCCTGTACCTCCCTCCCTGGCACCTAGCACATTCCTAATACAAAAGAAGTGGCAATAAATGTTTGATGAATAAATGACTTCATTCAAGCTCCTCATTTCCAGATGAGAAAAAGACCCTAAAAGAGGACCAAGAACTTGCCCAATTCACCCAGGAAAGCAGCAACAGATCCCAAATCTTCCTTCACGAACTTAGGGGTACTTCCTGGAGCAGAAAGCTAGGGAACACTGACCTTTGACAGGCCCCATATGGCTCAAGTACTCGCAGTGGCTGCTCCAGTGGTCCAGAGTGGTGAGGATGTGGCCAGGGTCACCAGGCAGGGCATGGGTGAGTACATAGCTGAAGGCCCGCTCCTCGATCCGCAGCCCTGACAGGCAGTCTCGGAGGCTTCGCAGCAAGACCGTGCGCACCAGCAATCGGAAGTAGTGCCGGTACCGCACCAGCAATGTTACCACCAGTGGCAGGAAGGCCAATGCAATGGCAGGGGACATGGTCCCTACCTGGGCCCTGGGGTGGAGGGAGGTAGGGAGGGAAACCCACACTCAAACAGTTTGCTTGTTATTTGTGTAGCCTTTGCCAGTAGCAGTTACTGTCCTTATATTTACAAACCACAGCTCAGAAAGGCCAAGTTTTTTGTCTAGAGTCACACAACGGAACTGGGATTTAAATCCAGGTTAGTATGATTCCAAGCCTGTGTACTTTCAAGGACTCCATACTATTTTCAGCACCCAGCCCCAAACCTCTTCCCAGTCCCAACCACTGTTCCCATCTTTCACATTGTTCCCCTGACTTGTTTTGCTTTATCCCTGAAGTCACCCCTTCTTTAGGACCCTTTTCACTAGTTCCCCTCTGGGATATCTTTCCCCAACCCTGCCCCCTGCCTGCCTGCCTGGTTTCCTCTGACCATTGCTGTGTAGCAGGAGCATAGATTTGCAGTCAAAAACACCTTCACTATTACTGTGCTCTGCCTCAGTAAAAGGCAATCAAAATACTCCATAGGGTGTTAGGGTGAAATGTCCTCTTTCCCACTCCAGGACTCTCCTGCCTGCTCTTCCCTGCAGATGGGAGGAGTCTTTGATTCTGTAATAATTTTCCAGCCCTATCTCCTCTCCCTTATATTCCCCTCTTCCGCTGTGCTGTCTCAGAATTCCCTTCACAAATGTGTACATACACATAACACACAGCACACATTTTCCCTCTACTCAGCTCTCCTCTCCAGGGCCCTATGGTGAATGGGCCTCTCCTCCCATGTCCTGGATCATTCTCTCCCTCATACAGATCTGACCTTGCAGGCCTTCTTGCAAGGCCCCTGGTGGTGGTGGGGAGTAAAATGAAAGTAAGAGTGTATGGATGGGTGTGAATAGGTGAGTGATGCAGTGGACTTGAACTGGTGTACTTGGGAACCCACAATCCAGGGCCCTGCTTACCTGGGCTAGAGGCTCCTGCTTAGGGAAGACCAGGGCACAGGGCAGATGAGGGAGTACTGCGCCTGCTGCGGGGGATAACCCTAGGCAGGAGGCTGGACTGGCTTTCCATTATTCATGTTGAGGCTGCTGCTGTCACCTGAGATCTGCAGTTCAAGTTACCAGCCCCAGGGATGAGCTTGAGCTGCCTCCTACCCTTCAGGAACCTCAAAAGATTTACAGAACTTCAGGGTCTTGATTTGAGGGGTACTAGATCTGGTGACTTCTCCGACCCCTTGGATCAGAAGATGGGGCATGATGTGAGCCAATGTGATGGGTGACTGTAATATACTCATTGATATGCAAGTTTTCTGTAAGCAATGCCATGCCTTGGGCCACAGGTAAGAGTCAGAATCTGTTATTGTGCTCCAGGAACTCCAAGTTTGGTAGGTGAGATTGACCCAGGAACAGAGAATACAATATAGTGTGATCACTATTGGATATTCCATGACTAAGGGGACTTTGGCTGTTTTGTGAACTGCGGCATATCCAGATATAACTGTTTGTGGCACATAGTAGATGCTCATCAAGTATTTGTTGATTCAATAAATGCATGAATCAACACTGGATGAGGATTAAGCATAGGGAGCTGGACATGTCCAGAGAATGGGGTCAGAGAAGATAATCAGGACGACATTGTGCTGAGTCTTGAAGACAGCAGGCAGACCTGGTGGGGAGACGGTGTGCCAGGCTGCATGTGCAGGGTCCAGTAGATCAGTCAGGAAACTGCATTATTTCTGTGTCCAGTGTAACACATTGCTTACCCCTCCACCCCTCACCCCTCCCAGGACATGGAGTGGGAGAGAGGTGTTAGGCTCTGCACGACTTTGATATGTAGGACAGGTAATGTCCCCAAATAAGATTTGAGGGTAACACATTTCACACCTGCGGGTGAACACCCAATCACATGTTCATGAACAACAAAAGGATCATTGTACAATCAAGGACAGACTTGGACCTGTGTTCAGGGCCCAAGGGAAGACATGGGAGGGTTTTAGGAAAAGAGAACTGATGGTCAGCTTTGTGCGTTAGATTACTGCGGGTGCTGTAAAAAAGTAGGATTAAAGATAAAAGCCTGAAAGCAGAGAGGTCAGTGATGTGGCTTCTATCTCCTCCACCAGGATTTATGTCCGCTCCGTGTCAGCATGTGAAGGTAGTATAAGGTCCCTTCTTCCTGTAAGTCGCAGATCCTCAGCCTAGGTGGACAACTCAGCTGAGCGATACACACGCTGTGTTCCCCGACTTGGTACCGGTCACCTGGGTCCTGTGTGTGTGCACCCAGGCTGTCCGCTCTAGAAGTGTCAGGCCTGGATCCCACTCGCCCCTCACATGGCATTTAGAAGGGTATTATGAGGGCATACGGTACGAGTTTGTTCAATGGCCCAGAAAAGTCGCCTAGTGCCCACGCGAACGCATAACAATTCACGATGGCTACTACTGCCAGTTTAAGAGACTGGAAAGATAAAGTCAGGTGATCCGCCCCTGCCTTTCCTTGTATCACGTGCCTGCGTGTCTGGTTACGCAGGTTTCGCCTTCCCACTGGTTGACAACGATCACGCGCTAGCGGGCGGGACCGGAAGCCGGGGTATTGACTGAGGCGGACAAGCGTCTCCGGGACCGGGGAGACGGGAGGAGGGAGTGGGTTGTTGCCTACGGGAGGCAGCCGCAGGTCATGTGACCGGAAGGGCTCCTGACGGACGCCGTCCCTCCTCGGCGCTGCCTGAGCGCCCGGCCCGACCCCGGCCATGGGGTGCTGCTACAGCAGCGAGAACGAGGACTCGGACCAGGTGCGGCCGCGGCAGGCGGGGCTCGGGAAAGAGGGCTAAGACCCTGGGGCATGGGGCCCAGAAAGAAAAACCTGCGGAGGACGGGCGCAGCCGGACTGTAAGGCTCACTGAGTACGGAGGCCTGGAGGGGACAGATTACAGAGGAGACGCCAAGCCCGGCTCCTACCCCTGTTAAATCTCCAGCTTTCTAACAGTCCCCACCTCGGGGTGTGCAGGCAGCCGCCTGTCCGGCTCGCTTTCACCAGTTCCGTTTGCTCCTTCCTTCAAAACTTTACAGATTGAGGGATCCTCAGTCTAGGTCCCCGGGAAGCACTCCCTTCCCAGCTTCCTGTGTCCTCTGTATTAGTGGGATTTGCGAATCCCTTGTAGGTGTAGGTAAGCTGAAGCCCTGAGTTAGTCTGTCCTGAGATGAATCAGGAATTTGTGTATCCTCTTCGTCCCTGGGGTTGCAGAAGGAAGGTCGCTGCTAGTCTAGGGCCAGAGGACGACTCTGGAAGTTGGTGGCCTTTGAGTTGGCCAATGAGGGATTTAATCGATACAATGAGGACATCGGGACATGTGGAAAGTTGTCTGGGAAGCAACAAAGAGGGTTTAGCTTTGGCTAGATTGTGGGAAAAGAAATGGAACAGGAAGTTCATTTGGTTCTGATTTTGGCTTGCCTCAGTGCAGTCTCTTCCTGGGGCCTGAGGGTTCCTTTAGTTGGAGACTGCCCTGTTCTGAGAATTTGGCTGTAGATCTGATCCCTTTGAAGAAAGGATTAGGCTGGGGAGACTTGAACAGTTTTAAATTCTCCATCTTCCCCTTACTGCATTCTCACTTCTCTCCACACTCGAATCCCTGCCCTGCCTGGCCTGACATTCAAAGATGAAGTCGCAAATTGCTGTCCACTCTCCTTTTTTGATTTTATCTAAGCCTGGTTTCAACATTTGAACACATAGTAGACCTGAGAAAGTAGAAAGGTTTCAAGTAGCTCACAGTATAATGGGGGAGATGGTCACCGAAATAATTATGTCATTGGTACTGGGGAAGTAGTTTTTTCTGCAGTGAAGGTATTTTGGATTAAGGGCTTAGGCCTAGGAAAATGTCATTTGTATGGGAAGCAAGGGTGGCTCCTGGTTCTCAATTCTCCATACACCCAATGAACACATAATTCCTTTGCCCTGTGTTAGGTATGTGTCATGCCCAATACCTCTCACTTCACCTCCACCTTTTTGAGAAAGAGATAACAATAATCCTGCCTACTTGCAGAGCTGTGGCCTAGTGGGAAATTGTCCCTTAAAGCATAATATGGACTTAGGGAATGAGTCAAGAAGGATTAATGCCTTATGAGAAAGGATACCAGCTTCTAGTTGGAAGGGAGAGCTGGGCCTGCTGCTCTCCTGAATCTCTGCCTTCTCCTTAGTGGGCTCTCATTTCTGTTTCTGGCCCCCAGAGAAGGTGCTTAATCACTGCTAGGTGTTCTGAGGCTTCATGTAACGGGGCTATAACCATCCACCATCCCAGAGTCCCTCTTTCAGTTCTTGCCAGGCCCCTCACCTACCCTCATCTGTCTTCTATCATAATAAAAAGAATTGCACACACATTACAGTTTACAAAGGGCCTTCACACTTATCTAATTTGACTCTTGCCAGATATGTCATATTAGTGTGAATTATGTCTATTTAAAGGTGAGGAAGAAGTTCAGAGAAGCTAAGTGATTTAGTCAAGCTGAAGTGCTATAGCCCAGGTGTTGTGATGCCAAGCCATGTACGTTATCCATAGGGCCAAGCTGTCTCAGCCATGCCCCTAGACCAGGTGGCCAGTCATGGGCAGGCTGTTATGTATCTGTGCTAGGGCAGACAGTGAAACCCTGCCTCTTGGGTTACACTGACGCAGAGATGAACCTTGGTGTGACAAGCCTACCCTATGCTCCACTCGTACTTTGGGAGTTGGGTGATATTTTTCTACTCTGAAGGGGGTAGCATGACCTCTTAAGTCTACATTTCAAGAAAACAGCCTTGTTCTTCACTTGATCTTAGCTAAAATGCTGAGAAGTGATCAACTAACCTTCTTGAATAACCCTTGATAGGGAAGAGACTACCCTGTCCTGCAGGAAGATCTGTCTGAAGTGGAGCTGGGAGGACAGACATAGGAAGCTAACTTGGGCCTCATTAAGGAGCCAGCTTTCCTTAGAAATACATAGTTTTATATTTGTCAAATATTTTGTCTTTGTAGCTCTTTAATACTGAATCTATGTTTTAGGGAGGAAGGGTGTCTGGGAGTTTAGAGGTGATGGGGCAAAGCCCACAGCTTCTGTCTCTTGCTGCTGGGAACTGGATCAAATTGCCTGAGGACACTTGGGCAACCTGGGCTTGAGAAAGAAGAGTAAGGTGAAAAAGCTGGGCCTGCCTAAGCAGGGCAGGAGGAAGTGGCCCTCTACAAGGAGGGTTGTGGAGTTGGGGCAGGAGAGCTTGAGCCTGCAGCAGGAAAGACTGGGGAACTGAGGCCTGGAGGGGAGTGTTGAGGAGTCTGGCACTGAAGGTTGGTGAGTCAGCATTAGCCAGGATGTCCCCCTGGGCCCATCCTTGCTTTGTCCAGGGCACTCTTGCTCTTTATGGGTTGGATAGATATGCAGCAGGTCTTTTTTTTTT